TGATGATGCTTTTACCAGTGTTTGAGCTGGGGTAGGTGGTGCTGGAGGTTCTGGCGGTGCTGATGATGCTAATGATGCTTTTACCAGTGCTTGTACTGGGGTAGGTGGTGGCAACGGTAGTGCTGGGGATGCTTTTAGCAGTGCTTGTGTTGGGGTAGGTGGTGCTGGATGTTCTGTCGGTGCTAATGATGCTGGTGATGCTTTTATCAGTGTTTGAGCTGGGGTAGGTAGTGCTGATGATGCTGCTGATGCTTTTGCCAGTGCTTGTGATGGGGTAGGTGGTGGTGGTGGTGGTGGCGGCGGCGGCGGTGGTGGCGGTGGCGGCGGTGGCGGCGGTGGCGGCAATAGTAATGCTGGGGATGCTTTTAGCAGTGCTTGTGTTAAGGTAGGTGGTCCTAATGATGCTGTTGATGCTTTTGCCAGTGCTTGTGCTGGAGTAGGTGGTTGTGGTGGTAATGGGAGTGCATTTGGTACTTTAAACAATGTCTTTGCTGGCTTAAGTGTTGATGGTGATGGTGATGGTGATGGTGATGGTGATTGTAGTGTTTTTAACAGTGTTTGTGCTGGGGTAGGTGTTGGTGGCGGTGGCGGCAATGGTAGTGCTGGGGATGCTTTTAGCAGTGCTTGTGTTGGGGTAGTTGGTGGTAATGGTAGTGCAGTTAGAGCTTTAAACAGTGTCTGTGCTAGCTTAAGTGGTGATGGTGATGGCGATGGTGATTGTTGTGCTTTTACCAGTGCTTGTGCTGTGGTAGGTGGTGGTGGTGGTGGTGGTGGTGGTGGCAATGGTAGTTCTGGGGTTGATGCTTTTGCTAGTGCTGGGGTAACTGGTGCAGGCGTTGCTGGCGTAGCTGGCGGTGCTGATGCTGCTGGTGATGCTTTTACCAGTGCTTGTGCTGGGGTAGATGGTGGTGGTGGTGGTAGTGCCTTTGGTAGTGCTGCTGGTGGTCGTAGTATTGGTGGCGGTGGCAAGGGCGAGGGTGATGGTAGTGGTAGTGCTGGTGGTGATCGTGATGGTGGAGGTGTTGCTTTCAATACTGCCTGTACCTGAGTTGGTGGTGGTGGTAGCGGTAGTGATGGTGGCGCTTTTGATTGTGATCTTGTTGGTGGGGCTGGTGATGCTGGTGATGCTGGTGATGCTGGTGCTGTGATGGCGACACGTGTTGAGGACATGCCGAAGAGACTGAGACCAGCGACTGAGTCTTGAGGTTGTGAGGTTGCCAGTGACTGGCCTTGAATGCGCCTCGGCAGGACAGTGCGACTATCCAATCGGTGAACAAAGGAGAGAGGCCCGACTTTGAGGTGGCCGGTCGATTCGTCTGACGACGACGAAGGTCTCTTGAAGGCTGCTGCTGTTGCTGCTGTTGCTGTTGCTAGTGCTGATGGTGCTGGTGGTGCTGCTGTTGGTGCTGGTGTCGCCTTGACAACTGGCCTGTCGGACCAGGCAACGCGACATTCCGGCCTCGTGACCAGTGGCTTGGTGGGCTGATGTGAGTCTGCTTGTGTCGCCGTGGCTGTGCGGCCGGGCCCTTTGTCCGTCGGAGGGGGCGAGTGGGTGTCGAGGCCGCGGTTGGCGGTTTGTGGGTCGGCCGACTGACTGGCCGGTCGATCGGGTCTAGGGCCGCCGATGTGCAGTTCCT